TGTTTGACAAAAAGGCCTCCGACAACGGGAGCAGAGCGGCGGCTTTCTTCAATTCAGAAAAAGAATATACAATTCAATACCTACAAACATATATATATATATTTATATATTCCCAACCTATATAATGAAACTCCCCCGATTGGACAGATGTTTCAGCTCCACTCCGCTCTACTGGCTCGCTCCGTTTAGCTCATCGATCCCTTATCTATACGAGTCATAACTAACACATTTATATACATATCACATATTTTTTTTTGTATTTATACTACTGCTAATTTTTAGAAGTAATATAGATTTTTGCATGCATAAGTTTATGACACAAAATGGTATATCTATAAATAAAAAAGTACTCCTCTTAAAATATTATAAATAAAAGAAATATTTACATCCGGACTCCGGAAGCTAAAATGCTTCTGGAGTTCAATGGTGGGGTAACACGTGACAAATGGGCCAAACTAATCCACGGGGTATGGTCAGTGTTAAAATTTGTGGTGCTCAGTTGCCACGTGACGTCCCACCATTAGACTCCGGATGCATTTTGGCGTCTGAAGAAGTACTGATGTAAAATTTTCGCTATAAATAGAGCTCATGTTTCACTTAGAGTGGGGAATGTTGGGAAGAACTTAGAGATTTAAAATATTAAGACCTGTGTCAAATATCTGACATCAACAATCACTAGAAACTACTACAGGCAAGTTCTTATCGTTTTATCTTCATCTTCAAACATTACCCGATCACCATGAGTCGATCATCATCATCTTACCACTACCTATCACTCAATCATAGTCTTCATCTTCCAACACTTCGAACTCTATTATAACTTTAAGGGTTTGTTTGAAGAAGCTGTTGATTATTTATTCTGATAATCTGCAGATTATCAGAATAAACTAACTTGTTGTTTGAGGTAGCTTATTCATACAACTTATCATACAGCTTACTGGGAGCTGTTGTTGAATAAATAATCATTCTGCCTCTGTTTGGTTAAGCTGTTTGCAACATATCTGAAATTAGAACAAAAGTATATAATACAGAACCCAGAAATCATCACAGATCAATTCAAAAGAAAACATACAGCGAGAAATGTAAGAAAATAAATTAGGATCAGTAGCTCTGGAAACTTGAAATAAAGAAATACAGTCATTGACAGAAAAAAGGATGGTGAAGTTTGATTTCTTTCGGCTCATTTCTTTGCTTGTAGAGAGAACATTAATTGAAATGATGATTCCATTTTTACTCATTTCTTTGCTTGTAGAGGGAACATAATTTTAACTTCAAGAAAATGAGCCCTTGGGTCAATCAAATTCTTCAAGCTTCACTAACATAAGTTCGACATTATTAGCATAAAAGAAAAGTTGTATACCAGAACAAATTGAAGATAGTTGGTGTTGAAGGTTCTTAGGGGAAACTGAGGGAGCAGAATATAACTAGAAGAAAAATGAATTTCAAATCAACTGACTTCACCATTTTTGAAATCCAATTACTCCAATTACTCCTTGTTGCAAATATACCTAGAATTGATGTTAGCCTTTAACTACAAGTAGTGGAAGATTTTGGAAAAAAATCTTTAATTTAACTAGAATAAAAATAAATTTCACAAAGAAGTTGTATTTAAACAGAAGGCACAATTTTGTTAGCTCAGAACCATTCTCCACATATCCCATTTATAAGCTACAATGCACGCATAATGCACAAGAAATTTACATTTGTTGCACACAATTCTTATGTATCTAAACTCACACCAACTTTACTTCTACAACAAGCAAGGGAAACCAATCAGAGAAGTCGAACTTCAAGGATCGCAGGGGAAAGGAATCAGAAAGGAAAATCGAAATGCTAGGCTCGCGTGAAGGAAGGAGAGGGATATCGGGTAAACCTTGCGCCGATCCTGGAAGGGGAGGAGATCGATTCTCCTGGAAAGGCGAGCGAGAGAGATTTGCGAGGAGGCGAGGCGAGGGATCTGTGATTCTTCCTGTGAAGGAGCGGAGGAGATCTGCGATACTCCTTTCCGCGAGCCGAGCGAGGCAACGATTCTCCCAATCGAGAGGGAGATCTGCGCCCGATGGGTCTGCGAGGCGAGCCTGCGATTCTCCAAGGAGGGCAAACGAGATCTGAGGGGCAGCACGGGAATTGTTTCCTAATCGCAAAACTGATACGCGGGACCCGGGTGATATCCGACTTACGAAGATACGAAGAAAACAACGATAAGAGAACACAACAACACTAAAAATTTAGAGCGAACGCGATATTCAAACGAAAAGGTGGCGTTTTAAAAACACCGCCGCATCCTATAAACTGCCCCAAACAGGCCCCCTAAATCTTGCTTTGTCGTGAATTTTGTAACATGCAACATTATTTACTATTACACATGTTTATTCCCTTCCCATTACATGTGCTACAAAAATATTTATTATTTTATATAAATAATATAGTATACATACATGTAAAAAATTTATTGGATGTATTGTACAGTACTCTTGTATTTAATAACTTATAAGTTTAGGAAGCATAAATACAAATAATATTTATTGGGAGATGTACCGGTTGGGTTGGTTGGGAACAAAATCAATTATTTAGTATTTAATTAAAAAATCCATAGGAATTTAAAGTACTTAGAAACTTTTGTGGCTGCTGGCGGCAATTAATAGAGAGGAAGAAAATGATTTTATTGGTTGGTAGCTTACTCAACGGTCATATTGTCTACAACTATATATACTTCATCCTACATGGATATAGCACCACATTGATTTCCATTTATTTGTTCAAGGTGCAATTGCATGCATACACCCCCATTCCTTTGTATTTACATATCAAATGCCTAGACTTTATTTTCTTACATTTATACCGCCAATCTCTCCTATCATATCAAAAATATGTCTATTTC